GTATAGCCTCGTCCACATGAAAAAAAATGGAAGCATTAATAATAAAAAGAGGACGGCAACACACACACACACACACACACAAATATTGCTAAAAACAAGCAAGATAAAGATCACATTCTGATTAATGTATGGCGTAATTTTATGATTTCGTCCTAAAATTTCGGACAAATCTGTCGAAGGAAAAGGGTGGAGCTGGCGATGCTTTGCGTTACAAACAAGAGAGATAAAGATCAACATCTGACTAATGTATGGCGTAATGAACATATTTCCTCTTAAAATTTCGGACAAAACTGGTGAAGATAATGGACGCACCTGTTGAAAGTTTGGGCCCAAAACAATCAAGATAGAGATAGCACTTCAAATGATGTGTAAAGTAATAGAAATATTTCCTCTTAAAATTTCGGACAAAACTGCTGAAGGCAGAGTATGTAGCTAGCGTAACGTTGTGCTAAAAACAAGCAAGATAAAGATCACACGCTGAAAATATATGAAATATTGGAGACATTTCATCTCTGGACTTCTGAATGCCCCGTGCGACTTCGAATGAGTAAAATTAAAACAAACAAACAAGAGATCGGCCATTATTAATCAATTCTTCTTTGTCGACTAATTAATTGGCACCTTTTGTCTTCTCTTCAACGTGACTGTTGCTCATATGTCGCTCAAGAAAGGTGTAAATAATTCAAGTTGTCCCGACTGACAACCATCAACGACCACAATTGGATTAAGTTGATATATTAATAACTTCGTAATGTCGAAATTAATCTACCTAACGAGATTTCTAACAGTAGAGTAATAGTTGGTCTCTAAGATCATTATAACTGGCGATCGATCCTGAGTGAATGCCACACTCATGGCCTTTTTCGAAACTAAACTGTGCTTGTTCAATATTCAGAGATGTCAATTCTGGCTGTCTCTCTCCTGGATGGGCGTGTTGATTTAGGGGAATGGCACAGTAAATGAAATAGGTGCAATGAGTTCAATTCCTGACCGAGTCTATTTCGTTTGAATTGGGAAAGGCATAAGCCAATCTCCTTAGATTGTGGGTTAAATAGCAGGATAGATTATGCTTTCTTGTCTTGACTGTCTGCAAATCCTGCAGAAAGAAATACCTGCTTTTAAACCACCGTAGATAATAAGACAGCCTTTAAGGCAGCCAGTCTAGAAAAACACAACTCTAAATTCAAAATCAGCCTGAACAGCAATACCATGTATGACTTCGAATGAGTAAAATTAAAATTAATAAATTCTTCTTTGTTGAGTAATTGACGATTTTATGAACATTTACATTATTTACATTGTTCGGACTATTGTGCTCATCTTTGTCACTATATTTATTACAACGTTTCGGCTGTTGTACGTCCGGCCTTCTTCAGGTGGTTGGAAGGTCGAACTTAACCCTTTATTTCGCTCACTGGGGTAGACTGTTCCAATTCCACGTTTAATGGATGTCAGTTATCAGTTATCTCTTGTTAATTTCCCTCTGAAAGTTCTTCACTGCCTTAACCGGGTATTGAACTCACACTCCTTGGGTTCTTTAAAACAAACAAGAGATCGGCCATTATTAATAAATTCTTCTTTGTCGACAAAATTGGCACCTTTTGTCTTTGTCTATATTTCTGAGATGAGGTATTATGTACATTATTTAGGACTATTGTCCTCATCTTTGTCGCCATATTTATTACAACGTTTCGGCTGTTGTACGCTCCGGCCTTCTTCAGATGGTTGGAATGTCGAACTGAACCCTTTATTTCGCTCACTGGGGTAGACTGTTCTAGTTCCACGTGGACACATGGCACAGTGGATAAAGGCGTTAGTTAGATCCAGTGACAGGACCCAAAGAGTGTGATTTCAATGCCCGGTAAAGGCAGTGGGGAACTTTCAGAGGGGAATTAACAGGAGATAACTGATAAGCGACATCCATCTTGGTCTTGGTAAAGTAGAGTGGTTGCCTTTCTATTTCCACACAATCATTTTATTTGCCACCTTCGAATGGCTATGGCGTCCCGTTGCCTTGTCCACAGATTCGTTGTTATCTGGAAATTGCTATGACGTCTTGGTAAGGATAGTGAAGTGATTTCCCGTTGCTATCACCACCCATTCCATTTATTTGTTGTCTAGAAATTGCTATGACGTCTTGGTAAGGATAGTGTAGTGGTTTCCTGTTGCTATCCCCACACATTGCATTTATTTGTTATCTGAGAATTGCTATGACGTCTTGTTAATGAGAGTGGAGTGGTTTCCCGTTGCTATCGACACACATTCCATTTATTTGCTATCTGTGAATTGCTATGACGTCTTAGTAATGAGTGTGTAGTGGTTTCCTGTTGCTATCACCACACATTGCATTTATTTGCTATCTGTGAATTTGCTATAACGTCTTGGTAAGGATAGTGTAGTAGTTTCCTGTTGCTATCACCACACATTTCATTTATTTGCTATCTGTGAATTGCTATAACGTCTTGGTAAGGATAATGTAGTGGTTTCCTGTTGCTATCACCACACATTTCATTTATTTTATTTGCTATAACGTCTTGGTAAGGATAATGTAATTGCTATCATGACACATTTCATTTATTTGCTATCTGTGAATTGCTATAACGTCTTGGTAAGGATAATGTAGTGGTTTCCTGTTGCTATCACCACACATTTCATTTATTTGCTATCTGTGAATTGCTATAACGTCTTGGTAAGGATAATGTAGTGGTTTCCTGTTGCTATCACCACACATTTCATTTATTTGCTATCTGTCTTGTTAACGTCTTGGTAAGGATAATGTGGTTTCCTGTTGCTATCCCCATTTCATTTACATTGCTATAACGTCTTTATAGGTAGTGGTTTCCTGTTGCTATCCCCACACATTGCATTTATTTGTTATCTGAGAATTGCTATGACGTCTTAGTAATGAGAGTGTAGTGGTTTCCTGTTGCTATCACCACACATTTTCTTACTTTTCTATTGTTTTCGCTCCTCAATAATGCTTCTGATTTCTTGATTCTCTCACACTCAGCAGCTTTATTGCCTTACATGGGGCGAACTCGATTAATCAAGCAGATGCAGAAAATAAAAAATCGATTGTGTACTTTTGAGAGCAAAATTCATATTATATACACACACACACACACACACGCACACACACACAGAGACACACATATATATATATGCATTGCACACAAACATGCACAAATACGCATACATATCGAACTGCATACAAACACATGCATGCATATACACATGTATAGAAACACGTATATGCACACACATTTATATACCCCACACAAGCACAATCGCACACATATACGTGCTCAAGCTGAAAAAACCTCGTTAGATGCGACGGGCTTTAGACCGACTATGCCACGAAGAGCTTCGCCCACCAAACACGGTTGAATAGTGTCTTTAAGCCAAATACTTCTCGGCCCAGATTCTGAAAAGTTCGTATTTTTTTTTTATATCTGTTTCGAATCCAAAGGTAAACAAAGCAATTTCTAAAGAAATAAGGTACCATATTTGACGGCATATAAGATGCACATTTTACTAAAAATATCTTTTGAAATTCCACTGCGACTTATATGCCAGATATAGGTTTAAAATTAGTCGGCAGAAATTAGCTACCTGGCAACTCGTATTATCTTAGACTTTAGAGTAACTTTCACATACCACTTGTCATTATTTAAAAGGCTATTATGCAGATTAAAAGTATTATCATTGATAATATGCATTATATCAATTTCATCACGTTTAATATCAGTACTTTGTTTCACTAAAATTATATGGAATAAATTCAAATTATATATTTGTAAAATATATTTGTTTCATTAATATTCTTCCTGCGATAACTTTAGTATTTCAAGATATATTGGTGTTGACATTAGACGACAATTTATCCATCGCACCCTGTATATCTGTTAAAATGAGGTGCCAATGTTATTTTCATTTGTGCGTCATTTAGACGACAATTTATCCATAGCACCCTGTATGTTAAAATGAGATTCCAGTGTTATTTTCATTTGTACGTCATTTAGACGACAATTTATCCATCGCACCCTGTATATCTGTTAAAATGAGGTGCCAATGCTATTTTCATTTGTGCGTCATTTAGACGACAATGTATCCATCGCACCCTGTATATCTGTTAAAATGAGGTGCCAATGCTATTTTCATTTGTGCGTCATTTAGACGACAATGTATCCATCGCACCCTGTATATCTGTTAAAATCAGATGCCAATGCTATTTTCATTTGTGCGTCATTTAGACGACAATTTATCCATCGCACCCTGTATATCAGTTAAAATGAGATGCCAGTGCTATTTTCGCGAGTCGTTTAGACGACAATTTATCCATCGCACCCAGTATGTTAAAATGAGATGCCAGTCATTCTCATTTGTGCGTCATTTCGACGACAATTTATCCATCGCACCCTTCCGTTAGTTCATAGTTTTCATATTATTGACTGATTTGTAATAGTTTTCCTATTATTGACTGATTTGTAAACATTGTGGATGAAAATTAGAATTAAAATGAAATAAAAAGAAACAAAACGAACGAATTTATTCTGCTACAAAAAAAACTATTTGCAACTATATTATTATATAAACGATGGCGGGTGTAATAGAAAATTCTACAAATCGTGTAACAGCATGGAATAATTGTACAACCCACAAAAACGTTTAACATCTAAAAAACAATAAATTAATTGAGGGTCTTTTTACCAGGTTTCCAGATAAGACATCTGGCCATCTTGACACCATTTGTCGTAAGAATCACTGAAATACCCTCTGAGTTATTCAGCTAGAAAGAGAAGGGGTTAAAATCATTTTATGTCAGCCCCACTATGTCTTCTCAACTGAGCAATGGTGGGAGGAAAAAGATCATTCAGGCCTTCAGTAATGCTGCCAACGTTCATAGTTCATCACTTTTACATCATTAAAGTTATTGATTTGTTAACATTATCGATGAAAATTAGAATTAAAATGAATTTATTAAAACAAGAACGAATTTATTAGTGGGAAGACTGAGATAGATAGATAGATAGAGTGAGAGAGAGAGAGAGAGAGAGAGCGAAAGAGAGGCAGAAAGAGATAAAAGTAAAGAGAAGGAGAGATACGCAGAGAGAAAGAGAGAGAGGGTAAAAGAGACAGAGAAAGAGAGTGAACGAGACAAAAGTAAGTGAAAGAAAGAAAGAGGTAGAGAGTGACAAAGAAATAGAAAGAGAGAAAAAGTAATTGAGAGAAAAAGATAGAGAATGATAAAGAAAAAGGAATAGATAGATAGATAGATAGATAGATAGATAGATAGATAGATAGATAGATAGATAGATAGATATAGCGAGAAAGCGAGAGAGAGAAAAGTAAAAAGAGGGAAAGATACATAAATATAAAGAAAGAAAGAGAGAGAGAGAGAGAGAAAGAGGCAAAGAGAAGGAGAAAGACTGCCAGAGAAGGAGAGAGACATAAACAGAAAGAAAGATACTGAGAAAGAGAGAAAGTGAATGAGAGAGACAATGAAAGTAAGAGAATGGGTAGAAACTGAGAGAGAAAAAGAAGAAAGAGAGAAAATGACTGAGAGAAAGAGATAGAGAATGAGTGAGAAAAAGAAAGAGAGGTAGATAGATAGATAGTGTGTGTGTGTGAGTGAGAGAGAGAGAGAGAGAGAGAGAAATATCCTGCGCAAAGAGAGGTACCATATGGTTTGATGAAAGATTACGGCGTGAAGCTCCGAGCCAACATGCAATTTAGAATTCTCTCGCCAAACTGTTCTCTTTCTCTCTCTCTCTCTCTCTCTCTCTCCATACACACACAATATATATATATATATATATATATATATATATATATATATATATATATATATATATATATAGATACATACATATATATATATATATATATATATATATATATATATATATATATATATATATATATACATATATATATATATATATATATATATATATATATATATATATATATATATATATATGTATATATTATCTATAAATAAATGCAGTTTTCCAGGTAATACTTTCCAGGTGTGATTTATTTCAATGATAACGTGAGACGCAAATGCATAGTAATTAGTTCCAGCTCATGAAAGATCCCACGAGTGAATGCTTGGTGGTCATCAGAATTTTTTGCTTTTGCCAATGAAGAACACGGGGGCGAAAGAAAGAATGAAAGGCCGGTGCAGATTCGTTCAAGAATTATTAATGAGACCCCCCTCCCCCCCCAAAAAAAAAAAAAAAAACAACACAAGTTCGTTGAGTTTATAAAGGAAATAATAAAATAAAACGATTAAAAAAAAAAAACATTCCAAGTTAACTTTTCTGAACGACATATTTACAGTTTCATTTCAATTATATATAGAAGCTTACTGCCATATCACGTTGAAACACCGATTCCTGTGCGATCACCGATGTTAAGCAACGTCAAGTTTTGTCAGTACCTAAATGGGTGACCGCTTCGGAATACCAAGCACTGTAAGATTAGATGAATGGCAGATGCAATGTTGTTATCGCTGCATCACGTTGAACCATACGGTAGAGACACGGTGGAATAATGTATCGATTGAGGAATCGAAGAGCCGAGTTCGAATTCCAGTCGAATCCATTACATTCACCTACGCGCTAATACCCTTGGGAAAAGTATGGAGCCTCTTCTTTTCTCCCCAGCTATGGGTAAATAGCAGGACAGACCGAGTTCTATAGTCTTGGATGGCAACTAAGCGTGTATCATGCATGGCACATAACTGACTGAGTGGATAGCGAGTAGAATTGAGGAATCGGAGAGCCGAGTTCGAATTCCAGTCGAATCCATTACATTCACCTACGTGCTAATACCCTTGGGAAAAGTATGAAACCTCTTCTTCTCTCCCCAGCTATGGGTAAATAGCAGGACAGACCGAGTTCTATAATCTTGGATGGCAACTAAGCATATATCACGCATAGCACATAACTGACTGAATGGATAGCGAGTAGAATTGAGGAATCGGAGAGCAGAGTTCGAATTCCAGTCGAATCCATTACATTCATTTACGTACTAAAAATCCTTGGGAAATGTATGAATCCGCTTCTTCTCCCCCACCTCCCTCAGCTATGGGTAAATAGCAGGACAGACCGGGTTCTGTAGCCTTGGAGTGTAACTGGCCTACCGCAGAAAGAAATGGCAACCTACTATGGGAAAAAATCTGCCTCGTCAGTCATGAATCGAAAGGTACATGATTGCCTAAGAGTGTATCACGTATGGCACATAAATGACTTAGTAGACATCGGCTCGGATTGAGGAATCGGAGAGCAGAGTTCGAATTCCAGTCGAATCCATTACATTCACTTACATGCTAATACTCTTGGGAAAGATATGAATCCTCTTCTTCTCCCCCTCACCCCCAGCTATGGGTAAATAGCAGGACAGACCGGGTTCTATAGTTTTGGATAGTAACTAGCCTGCCACAGAAATAAATCGAGATATACATGATTGTCTAGGCGGGCATCAGGAATGGCACATAACTGACTGACCCGTACGATCTCTGAAGTTAAGCAACCTCGACCCTGTTCAGTACCTATATGGGTGACTGCTTGCGAATACCAGGTACTGTAAGCTTAGATGCATGAAAGATGTAATTTTACTACGGCCGCATTACATTGAAGCAGCGGTCCCCGTACGATCATTGAAGTTAAGCAACGTCGACCCTCTTCTGCATCTAGATGGGTGACCGAATAACAAGTACTGCAAGATTGGATGCATGGATGATGTAATGTTACGGCCGCATCACGTTGAAGCACCGGTTCCGTACGATCATTGAAGTTAAGCAACGTTGACCCTGTACAGCACCTAGATGGGTGACCGTTCGGGAATACCAGGTACTGTAAGCTTAGATGCATGAAAGATGTAATATTGTTACACCCGCATCACGTTGAAGCACCAATTCCGTACAATCACTGACGTTAAGCAACGTTGACCCTGTACAGCACCTAGATGGGTGACAGCTTGGCAATACCAGGTGCTGTAAGCTTGAATGTACTGTTGGTGTCCTAAATAATTGCTCGGAATTGTTAATAGGAGTGCCAAGTTCTTATTCTTTTCGGGTTCATATATTATCTCAAAAATTTTCTTACAATCTAAAAATATTCTCTGGCTTTAAATAACCTGCAATGGGTTGATAAACAGTTGAAAATTACCCAATCATATATACAGTGAGTGGAAACAAGTATTCGTACAGTACAAAAAAAGCATACATAATCTTCATTTAATACTTTTTAGAATAGCCATTATTCACTTCTACAGCAAACAATCTCTTCTTGTAGTTCTCAATGATTTGAAAATTTTAGTTGGTATTTTGTTCCATTTTTCTTCGCATAAGGTCTTCAGATCCTGGATGTTTGTTGGAACTTTCGATTGGATTAGAATTTTCAAATAACGCCACAGATTCTCGAATGGGTTTAAATCTGGGGATTGACTTTGATATTTCAGGATATTTACCTTATTTTTAACAAGCCATTTCTTCGTAGATTTTGCAGTGTGCTCAGAATCATTATCTTGTTGGAAGATCCAATCAATTTTCAACCGAAATCATTAAATTTGCTTCCGAAATATTTTGATATGCTACTGCATTCATTGTACCATCTTTTACTGATATTTGGCCAGTATCTTTTGCAGAAAAATACCCACAAACTTTGATGCTGCCACCACCAAATTTCACTGTTGGTACTGTGTTTTTTTGTTTGAAGGCATCGCCATCTTTCCTCCATACATGATTTCTAGAATTACTTCAAAACAACTCTAATTTGGTTTCGTCTGTCCATAATACTCTTTCCTCATACGATATTTCCTTATCCTTATGTTCACGAACGAATTTCAATCTAGCATCTCTGTGTTTTTTCAATAGCAATGGAGTTTTCTGAAGGGAGAATGACTGTAAATTGTTGCTACGAATTTCATTGTTTATTGTCTGTTTAATGACAAAGATTCCCATTGAAAGCAAATCATCAATTCTTGAATTCTTGCCATGATGAAAATCTTCTTGCACGAATACCAGCTACAGAATGTTCTGTTTGCATTTTTTAGGCTAAAAAATAACTACTAATAACATTATTGGAATATTCTAGAATATCCACCTGAATAATCTAGAGTATTAAAGCAATTTAATTGTTTTAAAATTTGAAATTTGCAGTGTACGAATACTTTTTTCACCCATTAAAATGGATAAATGGAATTTATTTCTATTAAATCAATTTTTTTTCTAATTTCTACGCGCATTTCATCATTATGCATCTGTACCCAATTAATTACATTAAAAATATGTTTATGCATTAATTGGAAATACAATCAATTAAAATTTTTATGTATACGAATATTTGTTTTCTCCCCTATATATATATATATATATATATATATATATGTATATATATATATATGTGTGTGTGTGTGTGTGTGTGTGTGTGTGTGTGTATGTGTGTTAAAATATATAGTATTTTAGTTATTATTTTTTAAAAATAGTGCTCGATACAAAAGTAGAGCATAAATATAATGTATATATATGAAGAAATATAGTCTTAAGATGTGCTATATTTATGGCAAAAAGTGCTCAATATCAGAGATAGAGCGTGTGTAAATATAAAAAGTGAACATAGAAGTCAACACTTAGGGCGACAGACTGTACCATGATAGATGCAATCGTCAGGCCACGACGATTGCATCTAGCATGAAACAGAACTTTTGCTATAAGTGTTGACTTCTATATTCTCTTTATATATATATATATATATATATATATATATATATATATATATATATATATATATATAAATATGAGTACAGGGTCGGTACAGATGGAATAAAATTCCGATAACCAAAAACACTGTTCTTAAAAGAGTGCTCAATAGAGAGTAGAGCAAGTAATAATTATTCGAAATTATAATATATGCATGTTATAACATCACTGCAAAGTACGCATTTTGTTTCAAAGTAAAGTGATTGCGTTTATTGCAAAATAAATGAGAAAATTCAAGCGACCAGCCAGGGGGAATATGCAAGCGTTATCAACAACTTTGTATTCAACAGTGTCTTCAATTGAATGGCGGACATTAGGAGCATGTTGTCTAGGCCTCCTCTTCATATTTTTGGTTTATATTTGAGACTAAATGGTTGCAGATCCTAAAATGTTATACTTTTACATTTCAATAAATATAATTTCCATTCCTCTATCATTTGTGGTCCTTGATTTGTACCTGATCATTTCTCTCTTCCAGAACTGTGAAACACCATATATATATATATATAAATATATATATATATATATATATATATATATATATATATATATATATATATATATATATATATATATATCAGTAAAAGGAAATTGTCTAATAGTCTGGTTAAGCTTTGAACCGTTTTATCTTAGAAATGACTAAAATATTTTACTGGAATTTTCCTAGGTTTTTATAACATTATTGCACTCTACAATATGAATGCATAATTCCTCTACAGGCTTAACAGAAGAATCGTTATGATATCGATCATAAACGAAAAATGACATGTTCATCATTAATTAATCATAGCTAAGGATCGGAAAACTTATGAAGGATTGAAATAAAGTTCATATATATATATATATATATATATATATATATATATATATATATATATGTATTCCAGGATCATTTTCCAACTTATTCAAGATGATTTACGCCCTCTCTAAGCTTCTAAAGTTCTGTCCTCACATTTTTTGAAATACGATTTCATTCGTTTTTTCACTGTCCTTTGGACTGTCATAGCTGAAACTCCTCTCTCACATGCCAAACGTCGCATGGATTGAGTTGGATCTTTTCTAATTGATACCTTTAGCTGTAAGTTAAAATGATGATCCCTCTTCCTGTTGTGAACTCCTAATCCAGTTTTACATTCTACTGTTCCCTATTTATTAAACTTATTCACCAGTCTCCTGATGTCTGTTTGAATGGACTTAAAAGATGGAAGCCAGAGTACGAATGTTGGTACCATTACTGAAGGCCTGAATGATCTTTTTCCTCTCCCCATTGCCCAGTTGGGAAGACATAGTGGGGATGACACAAAACGATTTTAACCTGTTCTCTTTCTAGGTGAATAATTCAAAGTGTTTTTTTTCCGTGATTCTTACGTCAAGATGGCTAGATGACTTATCTGAAACCCTGGGAAAAAGGAAACTTAATTAGTTTATTGGGTTTTTCGATATTAAACATTTTGTGGGATGGAAAATTATCCCATGCTGTTACACGATTTGGACAATTTTGCTGTTACAGTCGGCACATACACACACACACACACACACACACACACACGCACACACACACACACACACATATATATATACATATATATATATATTTATATAATATATAAATATATATATATATATACCTATATATTGTTGCTCTGTTATTATTCTGTCGAAACGTCGTGAATATGGCAACAAAGATGAGGATAATAATCCAAGCAGGGTCATGAATACAATATGGGTGTCAGCAATACGGCGTGCTAGAGAAAAAGCAATAACGTCAAATTGTAATCTGAGCTCCGGTAAAAAGTCGTTAAGAGTCATTAGGCTCATAATTCCGCCCAAAATTCATCCACTGATGTCGTCGATGTTCAGCGGATAAAAGAGTTGGCTGAATCCGGCGACTTCACTCAAAGGGTTTGTGAGTTCAATACCTGGCTACAGCAGAGGTGAGCCAAAAACTCGATGAGTTGATCTAAAAGGGAGATGACTGAAAATGTCATATCCGGAAGAGGCAGGGCACGTGAAACTAGAACAATCTACCCAGTTGGACAAAATAAAGGGTTCGTTTCGAAATTCCAATTATCTGACGAAGACCGGAGTACAACGGTCGAAACGTCGTGAGCATGGCAACAAAGATGAGGACAACAGACGAACAATGTAAATAATTACAATATCTCCTCTCAGAAATATAGACACATACTGTCATTATTCATCGAGACATTTTTTATTACCAGCACTCATATATATATATATATATATATATATATATATATATATATATTAAAGTGCATCTGATTAGGATATAATAGGAAGAGAAAACATGTAATATACTTCCAAAATGTCTTGCATATATACGTGAATTCAACAATAAGCCGTAATGATCCAAATTTGTTTAAAAACAAAACAAAATATTCTAACCAAAATTTCGCCTCCGGCTCAAAGTCAAATGACATGTTGCGAGCCAATTACTCGCGTCTTCGTATAAATAAATAATTAGCCAAATAATACAGAGAAAGTTTACATGGAGGGAAAAGGTGAGGTGGCTTGAAGGGAAGTTTCGATTGGGAGAGAGAAAAGGAGAATTCGTGTCGGAAAGAATAAAGCATTCTCTGATGTTTCCTTGCTCTCCCACCATTCACTCTCGCCTTGACTCGTTCAGTGATTTTGGAAGAGAATGTTGGGGTTCATTTCAAGTCAATCTGTTCATAAAATCGTATTTAATTTTTTTTTTCATGGATTTTGTTGCCAGGCATGATCTATCTATCTATCTATCTATTTGTCTATTTGCCTGTCTGCTCATATCTATCTATCTATCTATCTATCTATCTATCTATCTATCTATCTGTTTGTCTGTCTGTTCATATCTATCTATCTATCTATCTATCTATCTATCTATCTATCTATCTATCTATCTATCTCAGTCTCTTCATTATCTGTCTGTCTATCTATCTATCTATTTCAGTCTGGTCATATCTATCTATCTATCTATCTATCTATCTATCTATCTATCTATCTATGTTCATATCTATCTATCTATCTATTTATCTATCTCAATTTGTTCATATCTATCTATCTATCTATCTATCTATCTATCTATCTGAGATCTCTACGT